TTCTAACGATTGTACACACAACACAGTACACATGAGTATAGAGTATGAGTCACGATTAGAAAGCCAGGAGCAGGGAAGGGTGGGCATCCATCCTGTGACTGACTTAGGGAAGTGGAAGTGCCAGGATGGTGGCTCAGGAGGGGCTGAGAAACAGGCTCCTTGGCTGTTGACTTGATTTGAATCACTGCTCTGAGCTGTGTTCTTCAAGATAATTTCTTTCATAGCCCATTGCCACAGCAGGCTACTCAGGCCCTTGCCATCTGTCTTTTCGTCTTACTCTCAGATGTCTTGTTTTTCTGTGATTAATTGGTATTTAAGAACTCACCTCGGGCTCCATTCTAACCTGATTTCTCTCTCTCTCTCTCTCTCTCTCTCTCTCTCTCTCTCTCTCTCTCTCTCTCCCCCCCTTCTCTCTCTCTCCTTTACTCACTCTCTCTCTGCCTGTATACATAGAGAAAATACATAGAGAGAGATGGAATATATAGATATAGAGACAGATTCTCTACATTCCTCTATTCCCTCGCTACATATGGATATAGACATATATGTGTGTGTATATATAGCCATACTCGTGTGTGTGTGTGTGTGTGTGTGTGTGTGTGTGTGAACACATTCAGATACATATATGGAGAGAGAGAGACAGAAAGAAAGGGAGGGAGACTCCTGCATTAGTCATATTTTGAGTTGTATACATTTAATTTTTTTGACAAATGCCTACATGGATTCTAGTGAAGGTTTCAGATAGGCACCCTCGTCTGTGTGTTGTTCTGCATGTCCCCCATCACCCACCCACCCACCCGTATTTCATGTCTTTCTCTGGGTGCTGCTAGTGGTAGAAAACCTTGTAGTTTTAATTCAGTATTTACAAGATGTGTGCTAATTAATAGCCAGTTCTCAAAATTAGTTCTGCAGAACTGAACCTGTTACATATAGTACTTCCCCTTCTTGCCTTTTTCTCTTCCTTTCCTTACTTCTATGTCCAAAGCTCGTGGTTTTATCGCCCCTAAAAAAATGTTATAAGGGCCTGAATTTTGTCAGAGTGCAGAGAGGCTGATTACCAGCGGGGAGTGCACTAGGTTCCTCGAGCTGTTTTTGTGTTTAGGGAAGACAAGTGAATCTTGCTGAACAGTGTGTTTCACAATGTTGTGTGTGTCTAGAGGAATATAATACAAGTTTTAATTTTTGCACGTTATTAACTTACATTCATTTTTTCGATAATTTGAAGTATATTATCTTCCTCTAATAACGAAATTAATAATTATATTTACATTTAATTAACATAGTGTTGGTTTTTTTTTTTTACAGCAAATAATGCCAAATAAATACCAAAATACTGACAATGCTTAGATTAGGATGACTGGTATTATTATGTGTACTGATTAACATTTTAGAAAGTAATTAGAGCTGGCATTTGAGGGCACTGCCGACAGTTCTTCTGCATCCAAGACAATTTGCTATTCTAGGCTAGGCCCTGCAGTTATCTAACAGGGTGGGAGCAGATGACTGAAATCTGCCTTGTTGCTCTAGAAAACCTGACCAAAATTTTCAGACTTCTCTGATTTCTATCATAACCATAATGCAAAATTTGCACAGATATGTGGCTCTGAAATCTTAAATTCACCAACCCTTGTAAGAAGAAATTGAGCGGAAGATACATGGAGAGAGCACTGGGTCCATTCGGCGCCAGGCGGCCAGATCGGCTGCCATTTCTGAGGCCGCAGCGCCCTCGTGTGGTGAAATGCGTCCAGCCTTCAGGCCGGGTTGCCCATCCACGCATCATTTCCCTGTACTGGAGCTGTATTCCTCCTGGGCCACACCCCCTCTGAGCTAGCGACACGTTATGGTTGTCTTGCAGTTTTGCTGTAGTAAGTGCTGGTTGGGAGTGCTTGCAATAAGTCATAAGTAGGAGATGATGGTTGCATTCCTTGCATGTGGTGTGTACCCATAGTTCATCCTCAACTTGTTGTTTGGAATGGGGCGCTCATTTCCACACAGAGGCAATTTCCTAGAGCTGTGGTCCCCAACATTTTTGGCATCAGGGACCAGTTTTGTGCAAGACAGTTTTACTACGGACGGGGGTGGGGGTTGGGGTGAATCATCAGGCATTAGATTCTCATAAGGAGCAGACAACCTAGATCCCTCACATGCGCAGTTCACAGTAGGGTTCAGGCTCCTGTGAGAATCTAATGCCATCATTGATCTGACAGAAAAGGAGCTCCACTTGCCGACTGATCACCTCCTGCTTGCAGCCAGTTCTTAACAGGGCACTGTCCAGTACCAGTCTGCCACCCTGGGGTTGAGGACCACAGTCCTAAAGGATGATTGGGAACCCAGGACCTCCCTACCTAAGCTTGTAGCTGTGGTCATATCTGGTGAAGAGTTCGGAGTTTTGAAGACCTAGTTAGGTACTGGGTGCACTTGCTAAAAATCACCCCATAGGCCCTGAGAAGTGGTTAGTGTACCCCGGAAAGAGGACCAGAGCATGACCTGGTCATCAGCAGCAAGGGAAACATTATGGTGTTAGTACCTACCTGCTCTGCTCTATCTCCTGCAGAAAGAGATTTCACTCCTCTCTTGGCTCCCTACCCAAATGGAGCAGCGGTGAGCATGTGAGCAGGAATATACTTCCTCATTTCCTGACTCCAAGACTGATTTCTCACCAAATCCCTTAGACTCACAGTCTCCAAAAATGTCAATTGGGATGAGATCAGGACGCTATTTTTAAAGTGATATTTTTTGTGTCTGATTGTAGATGCTGTTTTTGGTTTATGGAGCCTGTAGTTAGACCCAGTCCCCAGTACCTTCCACTCCCTCCCCCCACATGTGGACAGAAGATTGCTCCGTGAAATTCAAACTTTAAATCAGTAGGTGTCAGCAAAGACATGCCTTAAAGATAACAAACACAGATGGCTTCCCTATTAGTGAGAGCCTGTAACCTTTATCTAGCTCCACATACAACCCCCCCATCATATACAGATGTTCCTTGACTTACCATGGGGTTATATCCCCACAAACCCATCCTAATGTCAAAAAATCATAAGAAAAATCACAAGAAGTCAAGGACAATCTAGATGTATGTGTCATATTGTGTATATATGTATATATAATGTTCAAGAAGTCAAGATCATGTTACTCCAAAATATGCCACTCTGGCACATTGACTATTTTGAGTTAAAGACTCTTGAAAAACAGCAGGTACAAGATCTTGCTGAACTTCCTTCTGTTTCTTAAAAGCAGGAGATGAAATTCCTGTGTGAAACATGCCCTCCCTATGCCAGAAGAAAAGTATCATTCTCATAATCAAGGACAGGAAGCAGAGGTCAAGGGATGTCTGTACAAACACATCTTTTTAAAATGACTCTTGCCAGGTGTGATGGCTCATGCCTGTAATCCCAGTACTCTGGAAGGCCAAGATGAGAGGATTGTCTGAGTCCAGGGGTTCAAGACCAGCCTGGGCAACTTGGTGAGACTTTGTCTCTACAAGAAATTTAAAAAATTAGCTGGGTGTGGTGGTGTGCACCTGTGGTTTCAGTTAGTCGGGCTAGTTGGAAGGTGAGGTAGAAAGATCACCTGAGGAGCTCCACAGGTCAAGGCTGCAGTAGTTGTGATCATGCCACTGCACTCCAGCCAGAGTAACAGAGTAAGACTCTAACTCCAATAAGTAAATAAATAAAGTGATTCTTACCTTCGTAGTCACTTCTCTACTCACTTAACTACCCTAGCTCAAGTCCCTCTGCCTTGTCACATCTTCATAATTTATGACTCTTTGTCCAATTCAGTATATGAGTGTTCAACACTAATTGTGCTTTGAAATCTTCATTTTGTTATAAAGGCTCTCATGCCACATAAGACGTACATTAAATAAATTTTTATGCATTTCTCCTGTGAACTGTCTTATGTCAATTTGATTGTCAAGCCAAGGTGAAAAACCCTAAGAGGGTAGAGGTAATATTTTGCCTCCCTACAATATAATCCATATAGCCTGCATATATATGTCAGTGTGTATATGTATGTATGAAAATTAAAACAAATCATATTATATGTGTATATATAATATAATCTATATAACCTTCATATATGTGTATGTATACGAGTGTGTGCATACACACACACATACACAGACACACACAGTTAAAAGCTGAGTGGTTAAAATCCTGCCTTCAGAAGCAGAAAGATTTTCAAACCTAGCTGTCCTGCATCCTTCTGGTGTGATCCTGAGATTTTTTTTTTTTTTTTTTTTTTTTTTTTGAGTTGGGGGTCTCACTCTGTTGCCCAGGGTGGAGTGTAGTGGCATGATCACAGCTTGATCTCCTGGCCTCAAGTGATCCTCCTGCCTCAGCCTCCTGTGTAACTGGGATTACAGGTGTGCACTACCACACCTGGCTAATTTTTAGATTTTTTTGTAGAAGTGAGGTCTTGCCATGTTGCCTAGACTGGTCTTGAACTTCTAGGCTCAAGCAATACTCCTGCCTTGGCCTCCCAAAGTGCTGGTATTACAGGTATGAGCCACCGTGCTCTGTCCTCTGATAAGATTTTATGATCTCTCATGGTCTCTTGTTTCTTCAGGTAAAATGAGGATCCTAAATAGTGTCTCCTTCAAAGTTGCGAGGATTGATCGAGGCCCTGAGGCTGACACTGGCGGTCCCTATGTTCAAGGGTAGGAAAGCAGAGCATGGTTAGTGATCCAGGAAGGCCAGGATTTCACTGGCAGACTGCAAATTGGTCTGGTTAATTTACGATTCTCATGGTAAACCATGCCCTACAGAAGGTCTGTTCTCATTGTGCTGAAGGAATGGGGTTTTGAGAGTGGGAATTGAGAGGTGGACCTGAACTTGCCAACATGCAGTTTCTCTCTGAGTCCTCTTGGGAGATACTTCTTGGTGTCTTCTTGAGCTGCTTTCTGTTGCTAGTTTCATAATTAATACCAGCCAAAGAATGAATGACTGACTTAAAGATGAATGACGCCCTAGTTGAAAAGATAACTTTCCCTTTTCTCATAGGATACCTGGAATGAACTCCTAATTGGTGATGTAGAAGTGAAGAAGATAATGTCTTGCCCCAGGTAAGGATTCTGACTAGACTTGACCTCTGGGGTGTGGTCTGCCCCCTGGTTATTAACCATCACTTAACCCTTGATTATTGCATGACAGGTGCCTTTTGACCACGGTTGACCCAGATACTGGAGTCATAGACAGGAAGGAGCCACTGGAAACCCTGAAGAGGTAGAACTTCAACGTGGCCAGTGTATTTTTAATGTTATATCCATTCCAGAACTACTTATGGGGTTAGGTGCTATGTCTGCTTTGAAGTGGATATGACCTTTCTATCCAGGACACCTTCACTCTGCCTTCTGGTTGGTTTGTGTCTGTCAGTTAATGTAAGTGAGTACTCATTGCTTCCTCTTTTTTTTCTGGATGAATTCTTTATTGCTTTTGATAAATTTTTAATTGTACAATAGTACATTTTGAAATTTTAATATCTCATCTATTTTAATATATTTACATGTGCATTTCCAAAATAAGACCTCACATACTTTATGTTTATTTGGAATACAATTCCTTTATTAGAATCAGTATCAAGGAATATGAGAATAATTGAAATTGCACGATGAAATATTAGAAACAACAGAATGTAATGTGTTGTCAGAGTTTGTTTATCCAGGTGCTTTTTTCATGCCAGTGGTTTTTCTTTTATTTTGTTATTCACAGAAGCTTCCCTAACTTTAGTTTTCAGTGTTGATCATGTTTTTAGACCTAAGTTAACATTCTTTCAAGCTGTATTCTATTTTGTTTACCTTTCCTCTGTTTTGCTTCAAATGAGTTTAGGTTAGAGAAGAGCCTTCAAATTGACAACTGTATTTTGTTTTATGCTTGTTTTTTATTTTAAAAAATGCAGTGAGGTTTTTTTTTTTTTTCCTCTTCAGTCAGGCTTTTTTGGGGTGGGAGAGACTTCTGCAACAGTCCAGCCCCACCTACCAATTGCATCTCTGACTTAATTTTGTTCACCTACAAATCCCAGCTTTGGGCCTATAAACCCAGAAGGGATTGAAAGCATAGCACTTATATTCGTTAAACACAGGTTTGGAGTTTAGGGCAGTTCTATTTTGAGAGTTCATGAGTATTTGAAGTTGAAGGTACACACATAGACAAAATATTTGTTTTATACTACACATTTTTTTTTCTTTTTGGCTTTTTCCATGGTTTCATGGAGAAATTATTTAAACTCAGAATATGTCTAGAAAAATGAGGATTATATCCAGTTTGACTAATTGTCCACAGACTTCTCTGACAACGTTTTTGAAAAGATTTGCGATTTATTTATAAATAACCTGGAATGCAAACTAGGATTCTGTTGTGAGCACTTCGATTGTTATTTCCTTTCTATATCTGATGACGAACTTTTGCTTCTTTCAGCTACCGCCTGTGTGATCCTTCTGAGAAGCCACTATACAAGTCGTCCCCACTTTTTGGGATCTATTATTCAGTGGAAAAAATTGGAAACCTGAGAGTTGGTGACCCCGTCTATCAGATGGTGTAGCGATAGCTCCCCTAGGGTGATAAGGTAAAGGGCCAGCTTTGCTTCTGAATACAGCATCTTGATGCCTTTGACACATATTCTTGTGTTAAGATGTTTTTATTCGTATGCTGAGTTACTTATTGGGAGAATGAGCAGTTTTGCCTTCTGGTCTTTGGAATTGAAAAATGTCCTTTATTTCTCTTCCCCTAGCCTTCTCCACCCTTCATTTCCATTTAATTATAAAATGCAGATGGAAGAGCCCCAGTAGAAAGCTAGGTATATGTTTCCATTTAATTAAAGAATGTCATTATGGAATATGGAATTGAAGGTGAGAGATTCTCAAGAGTCATGTATTTGTTTTTTTCTGTCTTAGATAGAAAAGTGAAGGGGAGATGCTTAAATTATGCAGAATCAACTTGGAAAAGATATTTAAGTCAAATGCTTTTTATCAAATGTATTTCTTTTGAAGTTTGAAAAAAAATTGGTGCATCAAGGTGACTGAATCCTGAATTATGAGTTAGAAAGGAATATTCTTACATTGATTTCATCAGCTCAAATAAAACCCTGACTCATGAAGGCAAACACCTAGCCTCCAAATTAAAGGAATGACAAAGTCAGTCAGAAGAAGACCTTGAGTTGGAGATTTTAACTCCCTCATGAAATTGAAGACCCAGTCTTAAAGTCGGCTCTTCTCCAAAACTCTTTACCATCCTTCTCACTAATTCTGGCCTGAGCGTCTCACCAGTGGTTACCTGCCTTGACACTAACAAGCTCATCATCCTTAAGGACAATGCAGGGTAGTGGCTTACACAGTGTAGAACTAGCATTAGATAGAGTTTGGTTTGAAATCCTGGTATCTTCCTAACTTGGTTGAGTCATTTAACCTCTCTAAGTCTCACTACTCTTATCTGCAAAGTAGAAATAATAGTAATATTCACCAAAACAAGCAATAAGAGTTATTGGAGTATTAATTTGTATAAAATTGCAGCACTGCAATAGAAGCCTATAAAGTACTCAATACATATTAGCTGTGATTTTTCTTGCCATCATTGCATCATGGCCAAGCCTTGGAAGATGGAGTCTGAACTGCCGAGGAAGGACCAAGAGGATGCTCCAGGGATGTAATTTGATGGATGCTCAGAGAAGGTCCAACTTTGGTAGGGACCTAGAAAAACACTAGGGCAGGAGTAAGGGGAGATGAGGATGGAGAGAAGGGATGAAACCAGGCATGGTAAGTTCCTGCAAGTTAGTTTGCAGGTGAAGGTTGCTGAGGAACATGTTAAACCCAAATCGTGATCAAAGGTGAGCTTTTTGAAGGTGGTCCCCAGAGCCACATGTGGATGGATTATGGGGAAGAGGAGAGGCTGAAAGGCCAGGTGGGGTGGCAGTGTGTGATTTAAGTAGGGTAGAAACTTGGGGAGTAGAGAGGGAGGTGCGGAATGTCCAGGTCTTCAGCATGGCATAGATGTCATTTGCCATTTGACCTTAAGTCCCCTGCCAGCATTATTACTGCCACTCCTTTCCACAAACACTGGGCACATCCCAGGTGCTGCTCCTGAGCTGCTCTGTTCCGAACATGCTTCTCCTCCATGCATCTCAGAGACCCACCTGTGACTCTTTAGGTCACCTTCTCTGCAGCTGCCCCTAGAACCACTAGAGGGTTCCTTTGTGGTGATGCCCTTCTGTTGGTGCTTTGAAAACAACAGCCATGTTACTCATCTATTTTAAGTGTGAGCCTTCTATGGCTTCTGCATTTTGGAGGACCTCCTTTATACAACAGGTTAAAGCACAGATTAAAGACTTTTTTAAAAAAGAGATGGTTAGGTAGGGCTTGGTGGCTCAGCCTGTAATCCCAGAACTTTGGGAGGCCGAGGCGAGTGAATTGCCTGAGCCTGTGGGTTCGAAACCAGCCCAGGCAACTTGGTGAGACCTTTGTCTCTGCAATAAATAAAAAATTATCCCAGTGTGGTAGTGCGCACCTGTAGTTCCGACTACTTGGAAGTCTGAGGCGGAAGGATTGCTGGAGCCCAGCAGGTCGACGCTGGGGTAGCCGTGAGCATGCCACTGCACTCCAGCCTGGGTGACAGAGTGAGACTCCAACTCAAAAAAGAAAAAAAGATGGTTAATACTTGCCTAAAGGTTGCCTGAGTTATTTATTACCAACTTAACATTTAATCATGCAAAAGTTTATGTTTCATTATAAATGCAGTGAGTACATTTTTACCAAGGCAAATTTAGAAAATACCAGAAAAGTAGAAGAAATGAAAAAAATCATTCAAATTTTACTCTGGTAGTGTTTTTTTTTAAAAAATGTAGATATGATGTGTATGATCTATATCTATATCCATATATGTATCTGTATGACATACAATATAAATTATATGATATATGATATACAGATCTGTATGATATAAAGATATCCATAGCTCTCCAATCCATTCAAATGTCATTTTTGGTGGCTTCATAGCATTACATTGTATAAATCACTTCTTAAACAACATTTTAACAATAGCTGACACTTGGACTATATCCAATTTCTTTTTTAGGAATAATATTATAGTATATAACTCTATATGCAGAGTGTTTTAAAATTCAAAATTTGTCTTTAAGTTAGGTTTCTAAAGGTGGAATTACTGACCCATGGGGCACAGGCATACATTTTAGCATCTTTTTTTTTTTTTTGAGTTAGAGTCTCACTCTGTTACTCAGACTGGAGTAGAGTGGCCGCTCCCGGCCACTGCAGCCTTGACCTGCTGGGCTCCGATGATCCTTCCACCTCAGCCTTCCAAGTGGCTGGAACTACAGGCGCGCGCTACCACGCCCGGCTGATTTTTGATTTATTGTAGAGATGAGGTCTCGTCAAGTTGCCCAGGCGGGTCTTGAACCCAGGGCTCAGGCAGTCCACTCACCTCGGCCTCCCAAAGTGCTGGGATTACAGACTGAGCCACGGAGCCCGGCCACATTTTAGCATCTTGAGCAACTGTTTTTGAGAGGATTGTTGCTTGCATTTCCACATGTGTAAGGATAATTTTTAGGTACAAATAATTTTTTCTGTAACAAAGAGGTATTAACTATTTTGGTATGATTGAGCAAAATACTCAATAAGTAATATGTGAATGAATTAACCCAGTTATAATTTTGTAGTTTTTATTTTTGTTGTTGTTTGTTTTTTTTTTTTTTGAGTCAGAGTCTCACTCGGTCGCCCAGACTGGAGTGCAGTGGCCGCTCCCGGCCACCGCAGCCTCAACCTGCTGGGCTCCAGCGATCCTTCCGCCTCAGCCTTGCAAGTAGCCAGAATTACAGGCATGCGCTACCACGCCCAGTTAATTTTTTGATTTATTGAAGAGATGAGGTCTTGCCTGCCCAGGCGGGTCTCAAACCCGTGGGCTCAGGCAATCCACTCACCTCAGCCTCCCAAAGGCGTGGGATTACAGGCTAAGCCACTGAGCCCCGGCTTGTTTTTTTATTCTTAATGTGAAACAAATCCTACGTTTTCTTAGATATTTACAAGCCGGCTTCCTGAACTTTTCTCATTTTATGTTAGAACTTGAGTCACTGTCATTCATTTTTCTTTACTGTTCCTGATTGCCTCCAGAGATACATTCTGACTGCACACACATTAGCTCCTCTCATTGGTGTGTGTGGGGACATCATGAACTACAGGCACACAAATGGCCCATCTGAAACCCAATGGCCAGTGACTTTGAGAAGATGTCCTGTTGGTCAATGAGGAGCATCTGGCCTTTCCTCTCCATTCTCCTCTGCTGGATTCTGAGACCAAAATTAATCTAAAATTACTCTCCCCTTGCTCTGGGCCCTTGCCAGAACTCAATCTTAACAGGTACCTTTTTCCATTAAGGTAATTTGGGGTGGGACATGATTTATATTGCCTGCATTTTAAGCTCAATAAGTGACTGTTTTGTGGGTGTTTGAATTACTTATGACCAGTAGGATAAATAACCAAATAATCAGAGATTCTTATGATTTATTCAGGTTTCAGCATCCAGGGGCATCGACCAGGATCTTACAAGGACAGCAGCAATACCTCAGTGAATCTGTATCACCCAGCCTTTCACCATCTTTAATGTGGAAATGAGTCTCTAATTTTGACTTTTTAGAGGTATACATATATGCTCCACTTAATGCAAGGAATGTACCAGAGTTGATTTTGGGATGTGAAGGTATATACATTTTAGGTATAGAAGGCTTTTTGAATAAATAAAATTGTCTATGAAATTATTTTGAATGTTACTGTGGCTCTTACACTTTTTCAACCCCTGACTTTGATACTGACGAATACAGAAAGTTTCATGGATCAGTTAAAAAACTGCAAAAAATTTTTAATGTATACATTTTATTACTTATCAGTTTGTGTTTTAGAAGAAATAGGTACCAACAGATCACTGTTTCCTAATGTGCCTTTCCATGTTAACACACTCACAGATGCCAATTAGTTGGTCTTTACATGGCTGTTGAGTCTTATTGACTTTTTACTCATGTGTCTCTTGCCTTACCATTAAGGAATCAGGGTTGTACTTGAGTATGAAAATTATAATTATAGAACTTGTTTTTATATTCTATTATGCCTCTATTAAGCCATATAGAAGCAATGTGTTTATATGTGTAATTGCTAGATACACCACCTAGAATTACAAGATAGAAAGGAGAATGGAATTTAAAAGAGAATGGAATCATAAATTTTAAGTGCAAATAATTTTTTTGTAGCAAAGAGATATTAACTACTTTGGTATGATTAAACAAAAATACTCAAGTAATAGGCGAATGAATTAACCCAGTTATAATTTTGTAGCTTTTTTATTCTTAATAAATGTGAATCTCAATCCTACATTTTCTTGGGTATTTATGAGCCGGCTTCCTGGGCTTTTCTCATTTTATGTTAGAACTTGAGTCACTGTCATTTATTTTTCTTTACCCTTCCTGATTGCCTCCAGAGATACATTCTGATTCCACACACATTAGCTCCTGTCATTGGTGTGGGGTGGGGGCACCATGAACTACAGGGACACAAATGGCCCATCTGAAACACAATGGCCAGTGACTTTGAGGAGATGTCCTAGTGATCAGGGAGGAGCATCTGTCCTTTCCTGTTCATTCTCCTTTGCTGGATTCTGAGACTGAAATTAATCTCTATTCCCAGTACAATGTGAGGTAAAAGTGGTAAGTGAGTTGTATCCCTGGGTGCATTTCGGAAGTGATGAAATAGAAAAATCACACCAACTTGAAATTTAAGTGGAAAAAAAATTCTCCATTTTAAAAATGAAGTTTCCCTCCCCCCCATTTACATTTCCAAAGAGAAATTTGGGAGGGGGATAGACAGAAATACACATTTGGTGCCCGGGAACTATCTTTCTATGGAGAATATGGAGCTCAAATCCTGCATCCTGCTGAGCTATGTCATTCGCAAAGAGGGTAAGGATGACTTGGGGTTGGAAGAGAAAAAAAAATAGATGAGATAGGATAATATAATAGCATGGATAAATGTTTAGGCCTAACAATTTATGATGAGGAAGAATGTTCTAGAAAAGCAGATCCTCCCTGAGTACTGAAGAGCCCCACAGTGAGTGGCCAGCTGGGGAAAGAGCATTGTTTTCTCCCCTTAGGGGACTCTCCCTTCTCTGACTCAAGACACCTCTATCTACGTGGATGGTTCTGGCTAAGTCTTGAAATGTACACTTGTGGCCTATAGGACTGTGGCTGAACTGGGCCTTAACAAAGGCTCTCCTTGACCTAACTTTTGTCAGGTTCCTCTGAGTCCTCTTCTTGACTAGCCCTTGAGGTTGCCACCCCAATCCCTGCTGAGTCAATTTTAGCAAGAATTCTGCTAAGTCAGTTTAGAGAGAATGCCTTAATCCTTAATATCTGATCACCCTTGTTGTCTGTTCATATTTCTCACCTTTTATGTGTAAGTTCTTGAAAGGACAGACTGAGCCGGGCTCGGTGGCTCAGCCTGTAATCTCGTGCCTTTGGGAGGCTGAGGTGAGTGGATTGCCTGAGTCCGCGGGTTTGAGACCCGCCTGGGCAGCGAGACCTCATCTCTACAATAAATCAAAATATCAGCCGGGCATGATAGCGCATGCCTGTAATTCCGGCTACTTGGAAGGCTGAGGCGGAACGAT